TTTTTTTTTTTTTTTTGGACAGCCTGTATGGTAGTACAGTGGTAGTAATGGCCTGTATCGTACGACTTTAGTGGTAGCCTGTATCGTAATAATTTAGCAGTAGCCTGTGCTGTTATTATGTGCTGTGTTTGTGTTTTGTGCTTGCGCTTGTATAGGCTGTTATATACTGAAGAATGTGGAGCGCTTTTTGTGATACTTGTAGGATTCAATATGTCATCATCTTTATTTGTCTTTATCACTATTGTTTATATTCATCATTATCTTTTACTGTATAATACCACCTGAAGCGTCAATTGGAATCTAATTATTTAATCTTTAGATGACTGGTGCTAGATCACTTTTTCTATAGCAAAAAGAACAATAAAAGATTTTTTTTTAATTTTTAGATTGGAAAAGTTTGTGCTTTAAGATTTATGTCTGCTTATCAAAAAACTCGCTCTTTTTTTGGGCTAAAACAAAAATAAAAGGCTGATTTGTTATTGACAGTTTGGTTACGGTAACTGCCAGTCGGAATTCTATTGGTTGTTTCGACGACTGTTACAACGGATACTGTGTAGCGTACAAAAGTTTGTTTTTCAAGCCAGTTGTCTGCTTGAACTTTCGACTTCTGAATGCTCGACTTTTTTCAACATCTTTAATTTCCTGGTAAAATTTTTTTTCTCCCGCTTTTTTCATTACTGATTCACAACAACTCTTGCTATTAAAAAAGAAAAAAAAAAGGAAGGAAAGAGACTATGATGCCAACGAAGGAACTGGAAAAAAATGTGCTTAAATTTTATGTTGACTGCACGTTTTTTGCCTTCTCTTTTAATCTTAAGAGGTGAAAACAAAAGCCCTTCTTTCACCATTCAGTTATTCATTGCGTTTAAAAATTTTATTTTTTATTTTACTTCTGTTAATATTATCAGTAATATGTTTTGAATTAATTTTCTTTTTAAGTTTTTTTTTGTTTTGTATTGAAAGCTTTCTGATCTAAGTGACCGTTGCTTCAGTCTTTCTGTAAGTTGTAATGGTCATTTCAAAAAGTCGTTTGCAATGCCTATTGCCTTTTTTCTTTCTATCGCATTTAGCATACTTTACCTTCTACCTGTAAAACTGCTACTATTTCTTTGTTTTTTTATTTTATTTCGTTTTTTATTCTATTTAATTCTTCTTGTTTTGATTTATTTCACTTTATTTTTTACTGGCATGCATGACTTCTTTTTATTTCTTGCATCTAATGCTTATTTACCTTCATTTTTAAATGTTTTAAGCATGCAATCATTAAAAAGCATTAATTGACTACCGTTTCTTAGAGCGTGATAAAACAGTCGACGCAAAGTTTGAACAAAAAATTAATGAATTAGTTAAAGAAAAAAGCTTTTTTTCCTGCAAAGTGTTTCTATTTCTTTCTATTCTTTACTTCTTATACAGGAACAGATTCTTTGGTGTTGTGAGTTGTGGAGCAACCAACCTGCTAGTAGTTAGTTAATTCGTTTCTGAACCTTTTAATTTAACAAACATCAATACAAAAATTTTAAAGAACGCCGTCAACAAGCTATATAACTTTAAAAGAGCATGTTTTTAGTCTAAACTTTGCTTACCTTTTAAAAAAAAAGATTGGATTTCTTGTAAATATTTGTCAAACATCAACCAAAGGTGGTTTATTACACGTTTACGCTTGCCGGTAAGATTAGAGGAGAAATTTACGTTTTTCCTCAGTTTGCAAACAGAAGTCAGATAAAATTTGAGTGAAAAACTCTTTATTAATTTATAAAACGACACTTTTCAAATTCAAAATTGGAATGCCTTTCTATTAACTAGTCTGTTTCTTGTTCTTAATTTTGTTTTTCAAAACGATAAAAGAAGCAGGAAAGAACAAAAATAAGTAGCGAGATATTTTACAAGACATCTAGTCATTGTGGCTTCGCTCTTTCAAATGATACGTCAGTTTAGTTGTAAAACTGGAAAAGTAACGGTAAAACAAATGCTGTTAAAAATTCAAAATTGCTCACAATTAAGTGAGAGTTTCTCAATTTTTTTTGCAGGCTCCTGCAGATTTGATAATTAAACGGCGTTCTCTGAGATTTTTGCTCTGAAACATGCAAAAATTAGGTCGTCAAAATTCCCACTGTTCTAACTGTTAGCATTGAAAGTTAATTCACTTCAAAAAGTGTCATTCAATAAGACCGTTTTTACTGTTTTCTTCTTTTGAAATTTTATTTCAATTGATGAAAATTTTCTGACAGTCAGAAACAAAAACACGTAAATCAACACCAGCCAAATTGTTTTTTCTTTCAATGCTACCACACTAAAAATTGTATTCACCTTCTTTGTCACACTTATACACAGCAATATACGACAACTGCATTTTTGGACTATTCAAAGTAAACCATTTTAGCGTGGTTGTTTAAATTACGGGTGGAACCAGAAGAATAACAAGATGGTATTTTGTTTGAGTGCCAAACTATATAAATAGAAATCACTTTTCATGTTTGTTTATTGGGTTTTCTGTATTGCTGTGCAAAAAAGAAACCGCTTAATATCTCTCCCTAACTGAACAGAATGTGCTAGTTGCTCGCACTAACAACCAGTATCTTTTTTTGACTAAGAGAGTCAAATTTTAAGTGTTGACTGCTCCGTTTCCGCCACCTGATGCTGGAAAATGTGTATTACATGAAAAAAGCGGACGTAACCTTTGCTACCCGCGTTATGAAGATCTGGATACAAGTTGTACAGATGTCGGGTCTGGTTTAGTTGCACCGCCTGCAATTAGAAATGCTGTGTATGTTGTCTAAATTTATTGGAAGTATTTTTTGGTTGTTCAAACACTTCTTTAGTGTTTCAGAGTTGACGCTTAGCAATTTAAAATGCATTTATGGTAAACAATTAGTTAGAAGCAAAATAAAAATTCTTTGTGAGAACTTTGATTTTTTTGTATCATGCAGTTTTTCATTTAAATTGAGAAGTGTAAATTAATCCTTTTTCTTATTTTAAGCATTTTTTCTTATGAATCTACGACCTTAGTAATTATAAATAAGCCACAGACATAAGCACAAGAATAAAAAATTTGCAAAATACATGCAGAAGAAATTGGAAAAAAAACAACTGCAATGTCCTTTTTTGTTGCAGAGTTCGGGCTATGGCATTTGTTCCTCCAGATACCTTAAGAGGCCTACTTAGGAAATATTATCGACATCATCCACAGAATTTATATGAAGGAGCATTAAACATATCAGCAAAGTCATTTTTGTTTGTCAGATATCAGTGTGAAGATGGTTATGTCTTTGCTGATGATATCGACACAATGTTTTGCTCGGGGAGACAATGGGTTAAAACTGAACCATACTGCGTCGGCACAGGTATGTTTTTTTGGCGACAACTTCAATTTTCAAAAATACCAAAATGTGCAGTTTTTCGACAAAAGGTTGTTGTTAAACTCATTGAAGTATGAGGCAGTATTCTTTTGCAAGTTTTTCGTGCACAGGCCAATCTGCATGGTCACTTTTCGGTCTTTTTACCTTTCTTCTTTCGTTTGGTTTGACAAGCAATCGATGTCTGCTAAAAAATGAAACAGGCCTTTCCAAAATGGTTGAGTCAGTAACACACAATTTATTTACAGGTTTGTGTGCAGTTCATAATGGTGGATGTAGCCACACCTGTAAAAGTGAAAATGAAAATATAGTATGTAGTTGTCCACGAGGAATGGTGTTAAGCGAAGACCAGAAAACGTGCAAAAGTATGAAGTGGTCAACAATAATATTGTTAAACTAATCTTAAAACACTCAAAAAAAAAAAAATACTTCGGGCATTTTCTTAAAAAAAGTGCTTAGTGATTTCTCAAAAGTTTTGACCTTTAACATTTAAGAGTATCAAATACTTATATTGACATGCTCGCTAGTGCATCTTCTTTTACTTCATTATCTTTTAGTTTAACTTTTATATCTTCAGAGCCGGTGCCCAAGAAACTATGTAGAAATTTGAGTAGCTGTACCTGTACAAAAATAGATGGTAAACAATTTTCTTGTAACTGTCCTCCTGCGGAAACTTGTCTGTGTAAGTTATTCCACCCGTCATTTTCTAATTTTTTTTTTTTGAAAAAACGAATACTAAATTGCAATAAATTTCAAAAACAAAATATTTTGTAGTAGTAAGAGGCGACCTTAGAGTATATATTCATCCTGGAAGTCCGTACGAAGTACAACCAGGCGGTAGCATTAATATTACCTGTTCAGCTGTTTCTTATCCTTTTCCACAAATTTTTTGGCAACGGTATCATCTGCACTATCTGTTTAAAGTATTTTTCTAGTTAAAACTTAATTTATTGTTATTAATTCTTAAAATAGAGGTGTGCCAATCAATTGAAAAAATATATTTCCAGTGGTAATGAAGAGATTCGTAAAGAGCCAGTAAAGCCAGGAACTGTAAGAAGCGAACAAATTTTGATTATTAAGGAGCTGTATAAGACTGCAAATTTTACTTGTCACGCATTTAATGATGAAAGACATGTAAATAGAACAATTGAAGTTGTCGTTAGTGGTTAGTTTTGAAAAACTTGAAAGCTGAAAAACTTTTTGAATAATTTTTTTGTTATTAATGTGCGAAGTTATGTGGTACATAGAAGAAACTGTCTTATGAAGAAATAACTTCAGGACCTGGCGACCCACCCCATATCAAAAAAGTCGACGCTGGTCGTACAACAATTCATATTTACTGGACACCGCCAGTTATTGAAAATAATCCTATAATTTCTTATGTTGTTTACTATTCTACAAAACGAGACAAAAATTTGAATCAATGGAAACAGATTACTGTTGACGGTAAATCTAACTGATATTTCGTTGTTTTTTAATAAGTGTTTCGTAAGCAATTTGTATTTTATAAATCAGAAAGTATCTATCAGGTGATCAAATTTTGCTGAAGTATGAAATACTTGTTACAGAACCCACTCGTGACGTTAAAATAGAAAATTTAATTCCTAGAACGCCGTATTACATCAAATTACGAGCCAAAGATAGCAAAGGGTATGGTAAAGTCGGGATGCCGATTAAAGTTACAACGCGCCACCCAGGTAAACTTCATCTTCTCATAGCTATATGCAACGTTTCGCTTGACTACTTCAAACTTCAAAATTTATTTACACTAATGAAGTCTTATATCGGAGTTATATTCTTTTGTGTTTTAAGGGGAAAGTTCTTCTTTTTATGAAACAAGAAAAAAATACTCTCTTGCTCCCCTATTTATTCTTTTTGTTCTCCTACTATCTTTGGCACTTTCTTCGCAAAGTGAGAGTTTCAGACGGAAACGTTTTGAAGAACTGCTACTGATAATTCTTTGTTGCTATTTACTTATTATATTGCTACAGAATATTCACTACTTATCAAAAGTAGACAAGCAGAGTTTAAGATGTGTCTTTTTCTTTAGAAAATATCTGTTGGAAAAAATGGAAAATTTTTTGTATTTATTTAGGAAGTAATGCATAAGTAGAGAATGCTAAAATATTAGATTAACAACTACTTAAAGTTTCGTTACTGTAGATTAGTCATTTGAAAAAGAAGCTAGTAATACTAAAAAAAATTATTTTTGTTAAAAATTCTATAAGTTTCTGATGTATTTTATGAAGCAGTGAAGTGAAAGAGATGGATTAACAGAAGAAAATTGGCCGTTTTTAGAAAAATTTATTTAGCAAATTTTTTGGCATAAAAAGTTGCATTTTTCAACGTTGAGTAAAGTGCAACAGATAGAAAAAAAACCTACCACATTAAGAATATTCATTTCTGTATTTAGTTGATGTTTTAATGGTGTTTCTGCTCTTGGATATAACAGATAAAAAAATAATTGGCCAAAAGCGATAGACTTCTCCTTCAATCGATGGCTTTTAAACTAAATAACACTCTAATTTGTATTCTTCAAAAAAGAAAATTCTTTTTTTAATAACTTTTTTTTTCACACTAAGGCTGAGGTAAAACTAGATTTTTTGAGTTACCCTGTTTTGTTGAATAATTCGGAAATAAATATAATCGAATAATGCTCTTTTACAGCTCATCCACCGCAATTGAAAATAAAAGAAGGAGATTTGATCAGAGTTCCACCTTTGGTTCCCTTCAACATTACCTGTTTGGTGATTCAAAGCGATCCAAAACCACAACTGAGTTGGCATAGCGAGTAAAAAACAATTTTTTTAACATATTTTCTCTAAAGTTGTTAATCTAATTGAAAAATAAAAAAGAAATATTTTTTATTTATTTCTCAACTTTCTTTTTTTTTTTCGCTTTTCAGTCAAGCAACGTTAGCTAGCCCCAAGAGAGTTTCAACACTAACTATGGTAATAGGAATGGGTCTTCGGCAACACGTTAATTACACTTGCAAGGGTGTCAATGAAGCAGGAAGAACCATTAAATTTGTTCAAGTTATTGTTACTGGTAAGATAATTTAGCATAGTGTTCAAAAAAAGCAGACTTGTGAACACCACTTAAATTCTTGCAGAATCTGGTCTTATACAAAACAATAAGTTATTGCATTAATATACAAGAAAATTTCTGAGTGTGAGTTTTAAAAAAGTTTCGTTATCTGACCGAAAAGACCCGAAAAATTATTTTGATTTCAAAACTCGAGTTTCTCTGCGAAGGAATAGTTGTTTAGGACCGCTCCGGCCCCATAAATGTACGTATGTTGTTAGTGAAAATAATGTTCATCTGTTCTGGGAAACGCCTAAAATCACCAACGGGCCAATGAAGGATTATGAAGTACCTAATTCAATTCTTTCTTCAGACCAGTTTACTTTAAAAAGTAGAAAAGCACGAACTTGATGAGAAACAATTGAAAAAATAACTTTGAAATGGACGGCAATCTATTTTTCTAGATAATGTATACAGAAGATCCTAGTTTACCCGATGATCAGTGGCAGTCGGTTCGAACAGGAAGCAAAAATATTAAATCAGTAACACTTCCTGACTTAAAAGAGAGAACTTTATATGCTATAAAAGTAAGAGGTTGGAATGAACTTGGTCCCGGTGAATTTCACGGACCATTCAACATTACCACTCAACTTGCAGGTAGTTTTTTCAAAAAGAATAAAACCACTTTTTTGCTTTGTTATGCTAGTTAAAAAGAAATCTTTGTTATGAAAACACCTCTTGAAAATAAAGTAAATTTTAATAGGTCGTGCACCCGTAGTACAACTTTTTCCAAATGAAACTGTCAAGTCACCGCCAGAAATCGAGCACGAGTTACCGTTCCGGTGCGAAGCTAAAGGAGTACCTAAGCCTCACGTTTTGTGGTACTGGAATGACGAAATTGTAGAAGATGATAAGGTTTCTTCTTTACTAAAATTAAACTTCTAAATTTTTTATTTCGCGGTTGTTAACAACGTCACGTCACTATACATAACTGTCGTGATTCGTACCTGATCGTTGCCTTTTAGCCAGCCACAAATATCTTCTGCAAAGATATTTAGTAATACGTAAAAGGAATTAATTTTAGGATGAATTCAGGATATATGACGCAACTCCCTACGGAAGCCCTGACGAAACCATAAGCAAGTTGATTGCAGAGAAAACAACTCGTTCAGGCACTGTAAGATGTCAGGCCACGAATAAACACGGTAGTTTCTTAACCCTCTTGTAATTTTCTAAGTTCATATTGCTTTTATCATCTTGTTAAAAAAAAATTCATGACCTTTTAAACAGTTTTTGCGCAAAAGCAAAATTTTGTTTGAAAATTACCGAAATCTTTGTTTCATCTTACAACTAGTACTCGTAACACATCTTTGCAAAAATATTTTATATTTGTTGTGCTTTAGCAGAGATATTAGGAAGTTACAGCTAAGTATGTAAAAAATTTTAATTTATAGCAAATTACCTAAGTTAATTTATAGGTTCTGATCAAAAACAAACTGATGTCAAGATTTTGGGCCCCGGTACCGCACCTCGCGACATTAAACCGACCCCGAAACAGAACGGGTTTGTCGTTACTTGGAAACCACCAGAATATCCAAATGGTGATATTACGGTACGGCTGTTTTACTTTCTAATTGCAAAAAGCTGCTGAGAATTTTTTTCGCAGCTTTACTTTCTATTTTTTTTATTATTTAGAAGTATGTAGTTTACTATACAAAAAATCCTGACGCTCCGCTCTCTGAGTGGAAGTCGATGCACATTGAACCTGACGCTAATGAGACAACGATTGTTGTGGATGACGAAGATACCCCATACAGTATCAGAATGTGTGCTGCAACCGCAGATGGTTACGGGCCAATTTCTGAATTATTTGATGTAACAACTGGAAAAAAACGTATGCTGTTTAGGAGTTTTAAAATATCTTTATAATTTTTTCACCAAATTGATTTAACTTTTGTCATTAATCCTAAATGTAGTTGAAAAACCGCTACATATTATTAACGTTATTGATTCTTTGGTTGTCTTTCGTAGCCTTCCTTGTTCCAAAGATTTATACCAGAAGTACTCTAAAATGTGGTGTCTGAACGTTCGCTGTAGTTCAAAGAAAAAGTTTTAATATTCTTATAGCAGTTCCACTTACTGTAAAACTTGTCATCCTGGAGCCAGAAATAATTTCTGGATCAGAAGAAACTACAGTTGAACCTATGCAGAAAATAAGTTTCAAATGTATAGCAGAAGGCCGACCAGCACCTCAGATTTCTTATTCCTGGATACCATTTAACAACACCGAAAGTGGCCAAGTTTGTTTTCCACGATAATGCCCGTGGTCTACTACAAATGAAGTAGTTAAAGAATAAAAAAGATTTTTGTATTTCTGATATATCTTACTCCTGCTGTATGTTTAGGAGCCCGTACCCATGTTGGTAGCCGTTTCTGACGACCAGAAACACTTCTATGAAACCATTGTTCATGATGCTCAAACTACTACCAAACGAACACTAATGTGTAAAGCCAAAAATGCAGATGGCGTTGTAGATGATCGCTACATTTTTAACGTCATCAGTAAGAATTTTCTGTTTCTAACTGTAAGAGTGAGATTATAAAATGTTCAACTTTAGAACCTGGAAGTCCGCCGGAGAATATTCAAGCTGATGTGGATGTCGACAACACTGTAACATTATCTTGGGAGAAACCAAAGTATCCAAATGGACCTATAATCGTGGGTTGCTCGGCATCATTGCTTTATATTTGTTATTCGGGTGCTTCCGCTCGTTTGGAGTGGCAAGTTTATAATAGCAGTACTTCTCTCAAATACCTGACAGTTAATCGTTAAAATTCATTAATAACTGACTGCTTTATTAATTTAGGGTTATACGGTTTTCTTGTCACCTGACCCAAACAGAGCGGTGGAACAGTGGGACAGAAATTATGTAGAAGGTCCAGAAAACACGAATTTAACGTTTGCAAGGGGTAAATTGGAACCAGAAACTCCGTATTATGTTAAAGTTTGCGCTGTAGGACCAGAAGGTGAAGGCGTTCAGTCACAACAAGTGTTCTTCGAAACTGTTAGCGGGGGTAAGTAAATCGGCAAAACTCGGTTACGATTACATCAAGTTTTTATCATGTAGCGATGTAAAGCCAATGGTATACTACAGCACCTCGCGATGCTCCAATTGATACTCTCGCCACAGTTCAACCAGACAATTCTATATTCGTCGAGTGGAGAGAACCAAGTGCACCCAACGGCATAATCCAGGTATCAAGCTTGTTTAATCTTAGTATGATTAATATAATATTAAAATTTTACAGCAGCACATTACAGTAAAACTTTGTTTTTAATCAGGTCTTCAACCACTGTTAAAAAATTAGTCTTTTTTTTTTGTAAGCACCAGCGAAGCACTGTCAGTATCACTTTTTCGGTTTTTTTGTCACAAATCCAGCATGGAATTCTTTGACTCTAATCACCAATACTTGGTTTCTTTAGTTACTACGGTTCTGGTAAAGCTGCTCAACACCCAAACTTTTTTTATTCGCAGCACTTTTTTCAGTCATATACTGTATATTTCGAAGTCAATGAACCAACAGCAATTGACGAGGCTTATCATCAATGGCAAAAAATTGAGGTGCCGACAAATGAGAGTGTAGCAAATGTTTTGATTGATAGGGAACGGTTTGGTATTCTGCCTGAAAAACCGTATAAAATCAGAGTTTCAGCCACAAATGACCTTTCTGAAGGGCCTGCGTCGGCACCGATAGTTGTTCGGACTGGAACCGGAGGTTTCGGTTTTTGTTTTAAAACTCTGGCCAATAAAAATTTTTAAAAGAACAGAAATAATAGTTGAAAAAGATCTTCTTACAACTAAATTCAATACTGAAAATTTTTTGCTTGTTCCAATTGATAAAAAGCTACTGAGCAGTGGACACAGCTGTAGAAGAGAACTTACATTTAGTTTTAGGCAATAATTATTGCAGAGATAGCTCCAAAGCTTACAATAGAACCGTCTGAAAATCCACAGATGGTTAGGCCTCACGAATCCATTTCGGTACGCTGTGTAACAACAGGCACACCGCAGCCTGTAGTGTTCTGGGTAGTTGGCATTAATGAAGATGTTATAACATCGCCAACTTTAACATTAACTGACGTGGTCAGAGATGAAACTGCTAAATGTGTGTCTGAAAATAGTGCCGGTCGGGCTCAGTTAGTGCTCCAGATATTAGTAACTGGTATGGCTGTCAATTACTTATTTGTTTCAATATTCCTGTTGCCACATAATAATCGTTTCGACTTTTGGAAGCAAACTTCTGATCTCTTTAATTAAGTAGTGTTTGCTTGTTGTAACGAAACTTGATATGTAACTTTAAAGGACCAGGTACACCACCTAATGAAATCGCTGTCATTGCCCAAAAAGACAGCGAAGTAGATGTTGAGTGGACAACTCCAGATATCGCGAACGGCAAAATTACTGGCTACGTCGTTCACTATGGTGAAACTCTGGAAGGTACTGCTAAACTGCTATCGGTTGTCTTCTCTTGCTCAAATTTTCTCCATATTTTTGAAATTTTGAATTTTGTTACTTTTACCGGCTAAAAAGTCATGCAAAGTTCCTTCCTCCAATGATTTAAAGATGGTACAGAACCGGAGGTGTGGGATACAGTGGAAGTCACAGGTATGGACGCTCATGAATGTACACTTAAGAATCTGAAACCAAAGACGGATTATGTTATAAAAGTGCAAGCAGTCAGCGAGCGTGGTCCCGGCGTAATTTCTCAACCGTACAGAGTGAAGACCCTTCCATCAGGTTTTCTTTCCAGCGTTTATTTAGCGTTTTAATCATGATTATCATTAGCAAGAAGTATAGAAGATGAGCGGTGGTAACTAATTATGAGAACAGCTCAAGAAGTATGCCTAATACCAGTTTTAATTAATTGCTTCTCTGCATGATACACAGTGTTTTATATATTTTTCAGCTCCGTTACAAGTTCAAGAGCCTGCTGCTGATGTGTTTGATAACAACACAGTTATCGTGACATTTGAAGCACCGGAAGACCCGCAGAACATGAATGAGACAATAAAGGTACCCTTGGTACTTAATATATTTTTAATATAATAATGTTCGCTATTTCCATGTTCTTCTCAAACTGATATCAATCAAGTCGCGAGCTGGAAATAAAATTATCTCGCCACAGCATCTTCCCGACTTTCCGATAAAAAAAAACTATTGTTCTGAGCTTACCATTAGTGCTTTGAGTTGACCAAAGTTTCCACACTTTGCTGTAGAGAGATCCATATTTTCTAAGCGTTGCGTAGGTGCAGAAAGCAAATATTTGGTAATATTTGAATAGCTCTCCTCCTCCATCTTCTTTTGTAAGGGTTTTTGTTTATAAAAGAAATATCTGAACTTCAAACTAGAGAGGAACAGAATTTGAAACAAAAATTTACTTATTGCTGGCCTTATTCGCAGGTTAACTTTTACCCTCAGTTAATGTGAATGGCAATTTTTTGCCGCTTTTTCGCACCTGCCCTGGCCCAAACTTCTTCTGTTTGCTAATCTTCTTTCGCATAAGGCTCCTACACTAATTACCAAACACTTAAATGTGTTATTTTTTTTTGATAACCAGAGACGCTAGTGACTTTTCCGTTACAAATTTATTAGAATCTGTGCATGGAAAATTGCAGGAGAAGATACCTACTTTAAAGTACCTATCTCCAGAAAATTTTCAGAATGTGTCTTTCTCTCTACTAATAAGAAGAGCTAGTCTACTCTGTTATTCTAGGAAAATACGTCCAGAAAAACCTTATTGCTCCTCAGAGAAAAAGACGGTCCTTGCACAATATTACTCAACTGAAAACAAAAGTGTTACAAATTTAGACATGCTTTACGCTAACTATGAATAAACGTTAAGTCTGTCTCAGCTTACGCGGTTACTTTGCTAAGCACGTAAATTTTTCTGTAATAGGCGTCAACTTTTTAAGCGTCCTTGCAATCAAAAAATCCTTCTCGACCCCTCCTCCTACCTCATCTTACAGTAAAGCCTCCACAGGAGTGCCACTTCTGCCATGTCAGTTTTCATAACTGCATAAAATATTCGAGAAAATAATCGTTTTTAGGAGTTTGTTATACTGTATAAACCGGAGCCAACCCCTGGAGAAAAAGAAGAACCGTGGCGTGAACTTATCTGGAGTGAGCCCGATAACGATTCTTCAATTGCAGTCACGATCGACAGGGAAAACTTCAAACCCAATGGCAATTATCTTATCAAAGTATTCCCTCAAGAAACTAAAAAACTTGAAAAATATTGGTGTTTGTCAATATCCAAAGAAGTTTCTAGATAATACCACGTGGAGAGGTTGATGGTCCAGAATCAGAAGCAATCAAAGTCAAACTTGGGGCTGGAGGTAACAAACTCTTCTGAAATTAGTGAAGAGAAAAAAAAGACAGCTATTAACAAAATAGATATTTTCAGTTGTTGCACCAGATGTTCCAACTCTAAACATTGACTCCCCAGACAATACCATCAAACTGCCAGCAGGAAGTGACTTCACAGTGGCATGTTCAGCTACCGGGTATCCACCTCCAAACATCACTTGGTACGACTATGACCACAATGTACGTTTGAAAAAATATTCCTTGTCCAAAACTCGTCCTTCAGTCTTTGAAATGTTTGAAAAACATGAAAACCATAAACTATAATCTTTGTAAACCTTTTTGAATTTTCCTAGACTTCGGCAGTTTAATGCATAAACTTTTAAGATATTACTCGCAGCATCAACCATAATCGGTAGACTTAAATGTTCCTTCATGATAGCTAACTTATCCAGTATAATCTTGTCTGTATTCTTTAACTTCTTCTAAATATTTCAACGGAATTTCTTCTTAGTTGACTCATTTTTACTTACCTATGTGTTTTTCGAAGTAGAAGGTTTTAGCACGTCCCATTACTTCTTCAGTGCTCTCATTCTAACGGAAATTATACTTTATTTGAGCCAGTAGATTTGCGGGACATTAGAAAGAATAAAGTTGAGAAATTTTTAAGAAAACTTCTGCTCAGCAGAAGAAGATTTAAAAGTTTGGTACAGTCCTCAATTATTAACCATTTATCCCAATATCAAAATCTAATTTCTTTGAAAAAAGGGTTTTGTTTCTCAGAAATCTGCCTTATATTCGCTAAGTTCACAAGCTTCCTGAGTTTTGAAAACTTTGAAATTTGCTAATGCATGCAAAAAAATGCTTTTTCCAATACTGCTCTTTGGTCAAGCCTTTTTCGAAACGTTTCCCCATCTGACAAACGTTCTTTAGTTACTTATTCTTTGGCTAAATTAAACGCTGGTAACTTTTTCGCTACCGGAGTTTAATACTGTCAAAGAATCAACAACCAAAATTAGACAAGGAAAGGTTGGTGAAAATTCACAATAAATGAGTGCTAGACCCTTAAAACATTTCAAAAAATTTAAATAGTCTTCTTATCCCAATAGGTCTTAACGGACTAGGATTAATATAAATAAGTCCAAAAGATAATTCAGAATATTTCTCAACTCATCTCCTCACTTCATCACATAGTTTACGTCATTCGTTGGTGCAGAGTCGGTAGCACAGTTGTGCTTATTTTCAGGTCATTAGCGAAAAACCACTGCTAAAATTAACTGATTTAAAAGAGGCAGTTAGAGCTCTGTGTATAGCAGCTAATGAAGGAGGCACCTCAGCCACAAGCTTTATGGCCTATGTAACAGGTCGCTGTTTTAAAAGCTTCGAATTTTCCTCAGCTGAAACTTAGAACCACAACGAGAATGCAGAGTTTATAATGATATTTTGAAACAGGCCCTGGTGACTCACCGAGCGAGATTTATTTGTCAGCCGAAAAACCGCGAACAATTCATGTCGAACTTGAACCACCACTTTATCCAAATGGCAATATCACTCGTTATATTGTCTACTATACTCCCCTTGACGACCAGGTACATTTCAGCACACTGAACGCATATCACCAAAAAAACCCACTGGCATTGGACAAAAAAAAAATCCCAAATTTCTTTTTATTTAGTCAGCAGGAAAAGAAGTTGGCCAGGTGCCGTCTAAATCAATTCCTGACTGGATGACGTACGACAGAACCGGGGAAGGACTTGGGGAAGGCAAGCAAATTATGGATGTAACGGACTTTGTCGAACCGAGCACCGCATACGCTCTGGTAGTTCAAGCAGCAAACCAGGACGGACCTGGCCCATATTCAGAACAGCATATCATCCGTACAATGTCACGCGGTAAGTCACTATTGTGATTACTTTTTTCTGATGAAAAACTACTGCAAGAAATTTTATTTCTGTTTATCAACATTTTCTACGAATTTATTGCTGCTTTGCCAGATCGAGAAGGGCCTCCGAAAGGACTTCGCGTTGAGCCACAAGGACAACGGTCAGCAAGTGTTGAGTGGGATCCACCCGATATTATAACTCAAAAACCGACTGGTTACGAACTGTTCTTTATCAAAGCCGATGCTAAAATATGGGAAGACGAATTAGCAAGTATCGATGACTGGTAACGAGTGCAAATAATTCATAACCTGTTCTCCGCTACAAAATAAAAAGACCATGAGTTCACCTTAAACAATCAAATCTCCTTAAAATAATCTACTGCTCTCCAGATTACCAATACCAAGATGCAGAATTGCGATGCATATTTAAACTGACTGCAATCCATATTTGAAATCTTGTGCTGGCTAAGCTTTTAACTCACAAAAACGTCTTTTCATACAAATCGCTCGTTGAAGTGTTTTGTAGTAACTCATCTTCAATTTAGGCAGAGGATAGTAATACCAAATGCTGACAAGCTTAGCTATGAGATCTCTGGTATTCTTCAGCCAGATACAGAATATGTCTTCAAAATACGTGCTTTGTATGAAGACGGTCCAGGAGTGTTTTCTGAAGCTTGCATCACGAGAACCTTGCCTGAAGGTTAATTTCCAAGCCTTGGCAACTAGTGTACTCATCGATATGACGCTTCACTGTTTAAAAAAATTTTATTCGGCTTCAAACGTAACGATTCCCTTGCAGGAAATGAGCCATACATTATCATGTCTAACAAAGATCAAGGCCGCGAAGGAACCAGCGATATCGAAATACTCCCTGGGTCTTCGCTTGATATATTCTGTGAAGCTACCGGAAATCCTCATCCAACAATAAAGTGGGTCCAAGCCGATGCTCCTACTATCGAGAACAGTAGGGTAATTCTTTTTCATACTGAATATAAGACAGCTGCTCAAGACGGAATGAAAGGAATTGTTTGCCGCGTCCTGACCAATAAAACAATTAAAAGTAATTTGAGATGAAAGAACTTTTATATACAGTTAGCAGACATATTTTTTTCAACAGCCCGCTTTATAAACCAGTACCAAACTAGTCAATGCATTTAGGAATAAAATTTTAGGTCGAGGAAAGCGGCAATCGTGCAAAGTGGTTCCTAAATGTTAAAAAGATTTTAGAGGACACAAGCTTTAATTGTGTTGCACAAAATCCGCTTGGCATTGCCAATTGGACGATCAATATTCACATTATGAAAGGTTCCTCATTTCACCAGCACATTATCTTCAGAAAAATACCTCCAGAAAGTGATGTTTACCACCGTAGAAAGGATTAAGTGATTCTGATGCGGTTGAATATTTAGTTTCTCTAACTGACTCTTTAATAACAAAAATTGCGGATTTTTGTCCACTTATAGACCTCAGCCCTGACTGGAAAACCAAGACGGTTGTGCCAAAAACTGAAAATGGCGAGATAATACTTGCAGTCAGTGACGAAGTGCCAGATTATTTGAAGAAATTAGTAAGTTGCATATTCATCACAGAGTCACGCCACAAAAAGCTTAACATCTCGAAAATTTCTTTTATCCGCTGAAAAATGAAGCAGCATGTGCATTTAGGATGAATGCAGCTTGCACTGGACACCAAACCCCACAACGCCTTTAAAAGAATGGAAGGATTTACCTATGGAATCATTATCTCTTGATCGTATTCCAGTACCCGAAATGCAGCCTGGCACTAAGTATTATATTTATATAGAAAATCCTACAGAAGGCATCAAAACACCGATTTTCGAAGTCATGACTCCAAGTAAATAAGAAATCTCTAAAAAACTTATTTTGTTGTTAAATTAAAATTAGTCGAAAGTTACTTTACATTTAGAACCCGTAACTGATATCCGTATGGGAACAAATTTGAATGGCGAAATAGTTCTTGATTTTAAACCTCCGATTACTACTGGACCAATACAAGTAGGTTACCACCCTTGTTGGACCTGCAATAGTAAAAGCTTAGAATTCAAAGTTTTGTGGTTTATCACAACTTCCTTGTAATTTAAGGAGTATTTGGTCAAATATTGGCCCGCTGGGGAGCCTCACGCAGTAATACATAAAGAGTTCCCAGGAAACATCTCGGATGGAATAATTCTTGACGGGTTTCTTCCAAGTCAGAACTACGAAATAATGGTTCGTAATTCATTTCACTTTGTCGCTGAAAATTTCTCCCACAGACTATTTATTCAACATCAGCCTTAATTCCTAAGAACCCTAAACTTTTCTGCGTTTCTGAACTACTACAGGAATCTAAATAAAGAAAAGAAGAGCAAATTTACCTCACAGTCGCGACAAAATACTTCTGTTGCTAAGGCTGACAAGAAATTACAGAAATCTGATACGGCTGTTACCTTGAGAATTCTCCCCAATTTGGAACTTTTCTATCAAGAATTTAGGTCATTGCAAGGACAATGGATGGCAATCTTCCTAGTGAACCAGTTCAAGTGAAAACGCCACCAGGAGGTTTGTTGTATAAAGTTTCTAAATGACTGAACTGTTTCTACAGTCGTCAGGCCCTGAAAAAATAATAATAATTTAGATTTAACATGCACTTGCTCGCACGCATGCAACTTTGAAGAAGACAGCGAGGGAAACATTGTAACGACGTGTTATTGCCCAAATGGGTTCAAACTAGCTAGTGACAAACAGTCTTGTGAACAAACTGAGGAAACGGACAGTTTAATTAACGTAAAAAAATTTTTTTCCTCTTCTGAAAATAACCTGTTTGGAACAAGCAGTCAAGATACGGATAATAAATCAAGGAAAAAATCTCATGCTTTTATAAGACCCACATGCGCTAAAACAAGAAATTTGATTTAGGTTACTCCAGAAATCACAACTACCAGTACTGAAGGAGTGCCAACAACTGCAACATTCATAGAGGGTTTGAAAACTCTGGTACAGAGTACAATAGCGACATTGTTCTCCACAACTCCTTCTCCAGCTTCCGAAGTAATGGTAACCGTTAAAGACTTCGTTGCTCCCGCAGAAGAACTGATGGAAATTCCAACAACTGAGAGGATACTCGCTTCTACAAAGCCCAGTATCTCAAAGGAGTACATATCGGTAACAGTCAGCGAGACAATGAAGACAGAGAACGTGACTGCCTCTGCTGAAGAAGCAACTGAGATGCTACCAGAAACAACAGAAATACATTTAGAAACTGCTGGAGGTACAATTCAAGCGTCTGCAACAGAACACCCAACTGTAACTTCCATAGCTGGAGCTGCAGTCGAGACATCTACAACTTGCAGTCTTCAAAATAGCTTACTGGATATTGCGTTTGCTATTAATACAGAAACCATTTCACAAGTCGTCTTTGACCATATTAAAGTGGTCATCAGCGATTTCATAAATAACTATCTGGATTTGTCACCTGATATCACTCGCGTGACTCTGATCAAATATAGTGCAGCGGCAGAAATCCCAGTCCCACTTGGAGGGTATGAAGAAAAAGCTGAATTGTTAGAAAAGCTTGAAATGCTCCAACGAAATGGGACCGAAGTAGGATCAACACTGAAAATGGGAGTTAACGCAGCAAAACATCAATTTGTCATGTTTCACCGGCCACTCGCGACAAACATCATAATTGTCTTTACTCATGGAAGTGACATGTGAGATATCAGTATTAAAGCAATTCAGATTATGCTAATACCTAAATATTACGACTAGTAGATTCTATGATTACGTTTCTTTATAATTGAAAATTCACAAAAGAAGAGCAAAAAGAATTCCCTATAATTTTCCTCACCAATTCATGCAAATTAAAATTAGTTTCTTACCATAGTTAAGAGCTTGCTTTATTAGTATATCTGCATTTGACTGAAACCTATCTTTTTTAACAAATATAAGCTATTAAATGGTTTTTCAGAACTGATCCAGTTTTGCCTCTAGGGTTCCCGCATACTTTCTTGATGATCATTGGGGACGATGAATATGAAGAAGAACTTAAACACAACTCAGATTCCTATATAGCTGTCGACGAAGACTGGGAAAGTTTGAAGGCCGACACCATTGCAGACCAACTTCGCAGCGACTGTATCAATTCAAAACTGTTCCTTCATTCTGAAAGACTTTACGGAGGAAGTAGCGTCCCAATTACCGAGACGGTACAACAAACCTCTTTAACAACAGAAAAGGCTGTGGAACAAAAAAAACTTCCATGTAAATCTGAAGGAAGTGGAGTACTGGTCATTGAACTATCAGACAAAACAAGTTCTTCCCTCGACAATATTAAACAAGCGCTTCGGTTGTTTGTAACAACCGCAGTCGACGTTAAAAAGGTTAAGATTGGAGTAATAGTCTATGGCCACAACACCGCTCAAACAGTAGTTGATGCAGGAAACTATGTAAGTCTACAGGATTTTCTTGATTTGATAAATGAAATCACTGTAATCGGTGGCGATTCGCATGGTGATCGACTTGCAATAAAAACAGCAATACAAATTTTGCAAGAAAAAGAAAAACCTGCAGCAACTGAACAGGCTATTCTTATCATACACGACGCTCCTCTAAGGTAAGCCGTTCAAAAATTGAGTATTTTGGAATATAAACAAATGAAAAATAAGTTCCAATTGTTTAGGTTTTCCAAAATATCCATAATGACCACCAGCACTTCATGTTATGACCAAAACTAATAAAAACACGGAGAGAGCGTAGAGAGCGTTACTGCTCTGAAAGAGCATTTAGTTTTTATGCTTCTTTTAGTGGGGCCTTGCGAAACTGACGAATTTAAGCTATAATGACTAAACTCAAGCTCAATTACGTGAAGAACCACGATCTTAAAGACTATTTAATTGCTAAAGACCATAGTATTCCTAAACACTTCTTCTTCGTAAAACCGCACGATTGTCAAGCGATATAATTAAATAACAGCAACTAAAAAACAGCTGCATACACCTTAGCACATATCTGCCCAGAAATGGGAATAAAAAATTAGTGAAGTATTATGCTGAAAACTACCTAAATGTGGACACAAAGCCCTTAAAATACAACATTTCAGTAGCAGTGCGCGCGAAATCATTGCCAGTTCAAAGAATATTAACATTATCCAAGTCAAGGCAGATGAATGGAAGAAGATTGCAACAGATGACACCGAGACTTTAAAGAAAATAGGACTTGATTTCTGTTCAGCTATCAAGCCAAAAATAATGTTAGAAACTGCAGGTAAATCTTGCAACCTTTTGAATCTACAAAGTTTACAAAAGAATAGTGATCCTCATTTTATTGTGAAATAGGTTCCCACACTTCCGTAAAATAACCACTTTCTAATTATCCAGTCACACCAACTGCGATAGAAGACTTATTCACAAAATTAAGAGAATCAGAAGAAACAATAATAGCGTCAGCAGAAATCGTAAGAAAAATATCGCCTTCCACTTCTCAAGCATCAGAACAGCAAATTCGTCACTTCATATTTTGTCTCGAAATTTAATATCACCAATACGCTATTTGTCTACTTGATCAATTTCTTCACTTTTTCGAATTTTTGGTAAACTAAAAGGAACTGCTGGAGGCAAAACAGTCCCACCCACTTTGTTAATTTTTATAATGACCGACTGTTGAGTAGTTACTTATCCCGGGGTAAATAAAACTGCATATTTAAACAAGAAGTATCAGTGTGGAAAAAAAAATTTTGGTGGTTTTCTTCTCATGCATATTTAGCCCAAAAAGAAAAACGTGAAATACATAAGCATGTTAAGAAGAATGGTTAGAGAAGACCTTGAAAGCTAAAATTACACTTGTACCTTGGATAGTCAAACTCTTCGGTGCATATAAAAATTAGGAAGCTTCCTTGGAAAATTTCTCCCTCCAATTGCCTTTTTGTCTTCAGTAGGCTGAACTTCTCTTTACAGTCCACATAAATTGAAATACATCTTAAAATAACTCTTTGATGAGCCACAATATCTCATTTCATAAAAATAAAAAAAAAACAAATTCTTTGCGGAAAAGAGCAAAATGACCATTCAAACAAACAACGAACGCGTAAGCAAAAAAACGTCTCTTTCAAAAGTTTCCAGATGAAACGTATCGCAGACAACCAATCGCTAATGGTCAACCGCTTCCAGGTTCTTTAATAGAAAAATCTAAATCTTTCAACTCTTAATCTTGCAGAGATATGGGCAGACAAGAGTCCAGCAGATCATTCTTCACGCATCTTATCTTGATTTTGAAAAGATTCAAATAAAACTCCTGAATTTATTCACTTTTGTTGAAAAAAACTCATCTTTAATCAGCTACGTTTTTAAGACTGAAAGATTTGCAACCGCTTCGAAAACACTTCCTATTTTCACCAGTTAGTATCAATAAGATGTGTCCCGCTGCATGCTCATGCATCTGGCGCCCTCTACCCTCATCTCCATCCCGCTAAAAAAAGGGCCGTTTTCCGTTTATCATCTTTTCGTAACTTAAGATCGATTTCCTGTAGTTTTTTCGATCGTACCACTTCGTTTTCTCACTTTGGTTTTATTCTTGCCAAGAGTAATTTTTTTTTGCCATTGTAGACTTCATAAACCAAGCAGCACGACTTTATTACTTTCCTTTGGCTCACCGATAGCTAAGTTATAGTAAACGGGCATTCTCCCTTAAGAATTTCTATAACAACTTCAGAAGTTACTCCTCCTCGAAACTTAGTGACTCTCTTAATGCAAGGCACTCTGGCCTCACCAGAACCTCAATAATAAAATCCAACTTTTAAATGACGATTCAACCAACTCCCTCATAAGCAAAATCCTGTGCTTACATGTAAGCCATTGCGCAGACGGGTCGGGCCTACTGCCTTTTACAGCATCTGCACGTCCCGGTTACATTTTTCTTGCAGAGGCTAATTAAAAGAAACTATCTAAACATTTAAACATATA